AAAGTTTCAGTGTAAGCGACTACATTGTAATTTGCGTGATCCCCCCAAAACCCCAAAACCCCTGAATAGAAAATAAAAAAATCATTTTTGTAAATTAAATATGATGAGTAATTCTCTCGTTAATTTAAAAAATCTTATTAGGAAGCAATATATTTTTTTTGCAAATTATTTCTAACTAATCTAAAATGGATGAAGAATAGAACTTTCCTGACTATTCTTACAGAGAAAAACCAGGATGGGTAAGAAGACAGTAAAGTTTAGTAACATTCTTGGGGGAGGAAAAAAATCCTTATTGCAGTTAGAATGATGTAGCTCGACGAAAGAAAGACTCTACAAACCCCTACCAGGTGCTTAATTTATCAGAATTAAGGCCAATCGCTGAGTAATTCTCATTAAAGCAAGAAATCAACAAAAAGTAAAATTAGTCCATAAGTGGTAGAATAAAAGACGAGGATTATACTGATAGATCTAGCATTAAGAAAAAGTACTTACCTTCGATTATAAATCGAGGAAAATCCTTACAGAAATTCGGAACTATAATTAATAGAACTGAAGCAGTTTAGGTAGATGAAAATAAAGAATTCGATAGTCACATTGATAAGGTTATCAAAGTTGGGGGTACTATCAACCAATTCTTAGATATAAGGATGATCTTAGATAGCATTCAAAAGGAGGAGCAGAAACTTAAGGTCCTTCGAAAAAGAACAAAGAACAATAATAAAAAGATAATGAGAGAAGAATACAAAAATTAGATAAGCGAGGATGCTATGAAGTATTTTGGTTGGACGAATAAAAATGCTGAAATGACTATAGTAAGGCCTAAACCTAGACTGATATAACTTTTGCCTCATACTAGAAGAGATGTGAATCTGACTTAGCTTCACTAGGACTTTACTTCACCAATGTAGCCATAAACATTTAGGACACTATCTGAATAGAGATTAGTACATAATTCACACCATATACTTAACCAAAATGAATCAAAAGATTCACTCTCTTTTTATTCTCCAAGATCGATAAAAGCTGATGAATCAATCCTTAAAACAGTGTTCATAGATCAAAAGTTTATGAAGTTTTATGAAACTAAGTATAGGTTGAAACAGTAAAATTTAGCTCCATTTAATGACAGTCATACTAAAATGGGTGCATGACAAAATAACACTGCAATAGATTAAAATTCAGATTATGGTGAAAAGGGAACAGGCAATAACAATAGTGGCTCATTAGGGATTCACCCTTAAAGAGGCATCACATCAAAGGAAAATTTGTCCAAAAATTACATGAAAATGACTATTTCATAGATACATTAGTAGAATTCTTAGCTTAGAGATTCTATAGATAGTAGTACTAAAGCTTAGAGGCAATCTGAAATAATATTTAATGAAAATACTGCAAACATTAATAACTTGAGGCATTAGATTGACAGATAAAAGTAGTTACTGATGAAATCAGATAAATAAATAAAGTAGTACTATAGCAAATCAAATAAGTCATATCGAGGATTAATTAAAAAGCTAAATGTTAATATGAAATTTATGGGAAAGCAGAATCAGGACTATCTGGATAGTGATGTTTAAGAGGAAATAGTTCAAGCACTCTAGTAAACTGATAATGATGCTAAATAGGAGGCATAATTTGAGAGATTAAAAGATAAATTGATGATTAAACAGCATTTAGGAGGGAAGGAGAAGTTTACAGTAAAAGATCAGCTAAGAGATTTATTGATGAATAAGTGCAAGAAGCATAAAGTCCTAGAAAACGTCAATGTTAACAAACTACGGGAAAATGAATACTGAATTCAAATAAGAAAATATAATATGAAGATTTTGACTTTGATATTTATTTTACTTTCAAATATCATTATTTCTTTAAAATTTAATATTTAGGGGTTTTGGGGTTTTGGGGTTTTGGGGTTTTGGGGTTTTGGGG